CTTATTATAGAAAGGCCCCATCTAAAATGTTAGTGCCTTTAAAGATTAGTTACAAAACCTTATTAAAACAAAATTTCTTAGGTTGGGAATTTCTTCAAAATCCTGGGTTTTAATAAAGATTGAAACTAATTAATTGATGTAGTAGATGTTTTTAAATTCTATTAGGTCATTAGTGAGTTATCTACCGACCTTTGTATAAAGCCGAATTTTAGGAAAATGAGTTATATATACATTATCGAAATATATGTTTTGAATTCTTATAGAATTTCGTGGGATTTGCTTATTAAATATGCGCGTAATTGGGGGATTTTCCGGATTTTCGTAGATAATTTAACACAGAACGTCCGGCGTCACTTGAAGTTCACGTATACTTTTTTTCAAGAATTGTATATTTATGTTTTGAGCATTTTGTATGACTTTTCTATATTCTCAGAGAAAATGCTCGATTCATGGCTCTTCGCGTAGACACTTTTGAAATGGGAAATTTAAGATTTGCGTGTTTTGTATACATATGATCAATTCATAAAGGAATTAGTATGTTCAAGCGCTCCACGTAAACTTTTTTGGATTTAAATAGACAAATTGACTTTATAAGTGTCTTTGGATAGACATCTTGCTGTAACGCCATATTTTTTGTGTATTTTTAGGTAATGAAAAAAAGTTTGAAAGGTGAAAAAATTAAAATTTTAATTTTCTTAACTTTTTCTGAATTTTCATGACAGGAAATGATTCATTGTTCTATTAATTATATTGAAAGCCACATTTTAAGATTTTATTTTTATTGTATGAGTTTAATAAAAATTAAGAATTTCGCAACGGCATAAATTTTAGCAAGGGTAGCGAGCCCGATTTTACCGCAAACCTCGTTGCGTTCATAAAATTACATTCAGGAGAAATGCAAAAAAAAATTATACAAAGTCCTTAATTATTATTCAATTGACATATGTATGTACATATCCTTTCACAAAATATTTCTGGAAGAGAAAACTATTTCAGTTCAGAACTACTTTTCCATCGAAAGATATTTTAGCATACTATTTTACCTTTCAATTTATTATTTATACTTTTCAATTTGCAAAGAGCTTCACAGAGTGAATCTTTAGTAATTTCATATTAAAGAAATTTTTTCTTTTGAAAAATTTTTTACTATAAAAAAATTCGGTGGATTTCGTAGTTAAAAGCACCGTATTTTAATATAAGTTTTATAATTATGTCACCATTCGAAGTGGAGAAAATTGCTTTCGAACACAGACCGTCTACAGACCGTCTTGCCGACATATAAGAACCCAGTTTGCATTGCATTGGTTCGTAGGTCGATATTGTGTAAGAGAAAGCTGAAAATATGTGTAAGTATATCGGCGAGCCCGTCTCCAGACGGTCTTGGTTTTTCCCCCTGTAGGAAAAAGTTACTGTCACAGATCGAAATGGACATCAGTTTTGGATTTCTCGTGCTAAAATCACCCATTCCTGAATTTTTCAACTCATAAAAAAATTGCTTACTAGAGGGTTAATCAGTGTCAGACCAACGACTCTACACAAATAGCCTTATAAAACTTTTAAATGTTTTATAAACTCATGTTATAGACTACTTTAAGATCTTTATAAAACCACCAACATACGATTTATAAACTAATAACAGAGCATTATTTTGTACTACGAAGCCCCGCGTTTTAGTCTTATAAGGGTTTTATAGACTGTTTTATAGAGCAAAATGGTAACCTTATCTTGGTACCCATGATAACAATAATAAATATGCGTTTCAAAATAGACGGCAACCCTATTAAAATATACCAGTCTTCCCGGAGATAATACCTTATTAGATAACCTTAAAATGCAAAACATTATCTGTATACAAAATTTCAAAAATCGTTAGCCGTTTTCGAGAACCTTACGGATATATATATATATATATATATATATAAATATATATAAGCGGTTACGATGTGATAACCACGAGTTCTATGATCACACTGTTTATTATTTCTCCATTAATACAAAGCAAGTTCAAGAAAATATTACAACTACATAACAATAGAATAGAATGGAATAGAGAATATGAAACTGAAATGAGTGTACAGAGGTGCATTTACGCGTACTAATGTAATTATTTAAGTAAAGAAATGATTTCTAGTGGAAATGCTCCACATTACTGCATTCCTAGATTCGGCTCACGACAGCGGTAAAAGCTGGCTGAAGGCGATTGACAGGAACTTTAACTTCTTTGTCGTTGACTATGACTTTAGGTTTGCGTTGAAGCACTCTGAATGGTCCTTTATACGGGACAATGATGGCCGAACAGAATAGTCTCTGATGAAAATATGGTCGCATGATTTTAAGCTGGAATGAATAAACGGCTTTTCTTGAGTATGCCAGGCAGTGTCTACCGGACATAGTTGTCTCATCATGGAACGGAGTTGACGCAAGTCTTCAATTTCTGTCTTCGCTGTTGGCACATCGATGAAGAATTCTGCTCGTAAGCGAAGATTTTCGCCGTAGACTAGCTCAGCTGGAGTTGCGTCTACGTCTTCTTTAAATGCGAAACGTAAGCCCAGTAAAATCAGCGGCAGGTATGAAGTCCATTGGGTGGCATCGTGACATAGAATGGCAGCTTTGAGCGTGCGGTGACACCTCTCTACCAATCCATTTGTTTGAGGGTATTATGGTGTTGTACAAAGGTGGGAAATACCGAGGAATTGCATTAGGTGTTTAAAAAGCGCACTTTCAAATTGGCGCCCGAGGTCAGACGTGATGCCAAGCGACACGCCAAACCGTGCGAACTGTGCGGTCTGGAATCGGCAACGCATCAGGCCAACGCGTAAATCGATCTACAATCGTTAGGCAATAACGATTGCCGTCTGACAGTGGAAATGGCCCGACCAGATCAATATAGATATGCGAAAAACGTTGCTTGGGTGGTTCCCTTCTTTCTAAGAGTGTTCGGTTATGCCTGATAGTTTTGTTTTTCTGGCACTTAATGCAGTTTCGGGCGAAATTTCGGCTGTCACGTTGTATGCCAGGCCAAACAAAGCGCTCTGTCATCAGCTTCACTGTAGCTCTTGTACCAGGGTGCGACATGTCATGAATGGAATGAAGGAATGAGCATCGATACTTTTTAGTTCTGAAGAGTCTAATATGCTTAGTTGAAGTGTCGCAGTAGACTTTCTTAGAACTAGAAGGAAAAGTAAAGCTAGTTAACTTCAAAGGATGATTAATTTTACCGGCAAGTAAAGATTGTCTCTCCTCGTCAACCTCCTGATCGTCAGCGAGTTGCTCGTAGTTTATTGGCGTGATGTCGACTGCAACTATACGGGAGAACAAATCCGGTGCCACATTACTTTAGCCTTTGACGTGGCGTATATCAGTGGTGATTTGAGAAACAAAATCGAGCTGTCTCACTTGCCGATCTGACGCTTTGTCAAGTCGTTGCCGAAACGCGTAGATGAGCGGCTTGTGGTCCGTGTATATGTGACAGCACCTATCCTCAAGTATGTATCTGAAATGACGAGTGGCAAAAGACACAGCGCTGTGAGCTCTCGGTCATATGTACTGTATCGGCTTTCCGCTTTTGAAAATCTTCGCAAAAAGAGTCCTAGCGGCTGGAGACCACAATCGACAACTTGATTGAGGACGGCGCCAGCAGCAAAGTTCGAAGCATCAACCCACAGAGAGAGCTCTGCATTTGGAAGCGGATGAGCCAACATAGCGTAGTCCGCAAGTTGTTGTTTACAGGCTTTCACACTAGCGGAGTATTGTTGTTACGTTTATTGCCTTTGACCATATCAAAAAGATTCGCTTAATGTTCGAGTGCTCGTGGCAAAAACCGCCGATAAAAATTCAGCATCACGAGAAAACGTAATAAATCCTTCGCAACTTTGGGACGATGAAAATTAAGCATTGCCTCCACGCGCGCAGGCGCCTAGAAACTGCATCTCGTTTACACCAAACTTCGATATTTCGGCGTTTATCGTAAGGCTGTGGTCCCTTAAGCGCTGAAGTACCTGTTTCAGGTGTTCTTTATGTTCATCGATGTTCGTTGAGGTCACGCAGACATCGTCGAGATATGTGAACACAAAATTGAGGCCTCTGAAAACTTCGTTGATCATCCTTTGAAAAGTTTGCGCAGCGTTTCTGATCCCAAAAGTCATTTGCGTAAACTCAGAGGCCGAACGGCGTCGTAACTGCGGTCTTACATATGTCGTCGGGATGAATCGGGACTTGATGGAAGGCTTTCTGGAGGTACAGACTTTCCGGCAAGAATACTGGAGAAGTCCTGCAAAAATGGAAGCGGATAACGATCTGGAACTGTTATCACGTCTAACGCACGGTAGACACCGCAAGGCCCCCACGAGCCGTTGCGCACCAGGTGTAAGGGGCTGGCCCAGTTGCTACTGGATGGTCGACAGATTCCCAGTTTTAAAAGCGTCTCGAATTCTGTCGAAGTCTTGCATACACTGGGTGCCCGCTTGTCACAATACGGTGAACAAAAAGCGATTTAGTATGAATACCCCCTGGCGAAGGGCGCGTAACTTCAATGAAATCTTTTAAAATGTCAGGAAATGGAAAATTTATGTTAAATATTTTTCTACATATTTGGTCCACTTTTTCGACAACGCAGACCGATTTTAATTTAGTTTCGCAGTCGATAAGGCACTTTTGTTTCAAATCCACTAAGAGATCGTAGTGAGCGAGGAAGTCAGCTCTTAAAATTGCTTGTGATACATCAGCAATTAAAAATTTCCACAAATATTCTCGACGTAGGTTGAGGTTAAGTTTGATTAAAGTTTCACCATACACTGAAATTGGGGAGCCGTTTGCGGCAACAATTTAAGTTCCGTTGGTTTTGCTCGGCCTGAATTAACTGATCGCGGAATAACGGACACGTCCGCGCCGGTGTCTATTAAAATATTTATTTTAGCGCACGTATCATAAATCCGCAAGCGGAACGTTTTTGCAATCTCAGAGTGTTTGCCGTTATCTGAGATTGTATCGGCCGAGCAGGCCTATGGGCTTTTGTTGCATTTCGAACTGTTTTTGTAGCTACACGGTTCGCGGCATTTCGTTGCATTGTCACCAAACTTCTTATGATACCAGCTGGTTTCACCGTTTGATGTACCTCTGACATGTACTGTACAGGACTTTAAGCGAGATCGAGAGCGAGCTTTGACCTTCAAAAGTTTTTGCATATTTCGCGTAAGTTCCGTTACTTCTTGTCTAAAATTAGCGACTTCTCCGTTGGACGAAATTGAGTGAACCAAATTGTTATGCAGGTCAATAGATTCAATGATTAAATCTGCAATTTTTAATTTTTCTGCCACTGCAACGTTTGCAGCGATTGCAGCTGCTTGTACATAGGGCGGTAGTCTCCTCAACCAAAGGTCGTGGATGATGCTATCACTGAGCGTATTGCCGGCGACGCGTTTCATTTCCTTGTAAATATCACTTGGCCTCCGATCGCCAAGAGCCATATCTTTCACGACACGCTGTAAGCGTCGTTGCTGGCTGTCTGTGAAATTATCAATTAGTTTTTCCCGAATGTATGCGTACTTTCCATTTGGAGGTGCTGTTTCGATTATTGGCTTCAGCTCCATCAGCTTCTTTGGAGGGACGCTGGCGAGGACGATGTTAAATTTTCTTACATCGCTGGATATAAGAGACGCCTCGAACCAAAACTCTAAGGAGTAAAAGTACGCTTCGATATTTTCTTCCGACATTGGTGGCAGTGGAATACGTGGTACCGGGTTTTATAATGCAGTGGTTTCACGTGTTACTGCCGGAGGCGTCCTCGGTGACGAGAAGACCTGCGTTAAGCATATCTTCTTACTTTGTGTCCCGTAAGAGACTTCCCGGTTTAATAGAAATTTTAATAGTTATGAAAAAAAATACCGCAGCGCGCAAATGGAAATCGTGCGGGGTCACCAATGTGGTTACGATGTGATAACCACGAGTTCTATTATCACACTGTTTACTAATTCTCCATTAATACAAAGCAAGTTCAAGAAAATATTACAACTACATAAGAACAGAATAGAATGGAATAGAGAATAGGAAACTGAAATGAGTGTACAGAGCTGCATTTATGCGTACTAATGTAATTACTTTAAGTAAAGAAATAATTTCTAGTGGACGTGCTTCACATATATATGTATACAAGAATTGCTCGTTTAATGTAATAATAAGATATTCCGTAAATATGAGGCCAGACGAGCCCTCGGTGACGAGAAGACTATCGTAATAGAAATTTTAATAGTAATGAAAAAAAATATTCCGCAGCGCGCAAATGGAAACCGTGCGGGGTCACCTACGTGGTTACGATGTGATAACCACGAGTTCTATTATCACACTGTTTATTAATTCTCCATTAATACAAAGCAAGTTCAAGAAAATATTACAGCTACATAAGAATAGAATAGAATGGAATAGAGAATATGAAACTGAAATGAGTGTACAGAGCTGCATTTATGCGTACTAATGTAATTACTTTAAGTAAAGAAATAATTTCTAGTGGAAGTGCTCCACATATATATGTATACAAGAATTGCTCGTTTAATGTAATAATAAGATATTCCGTAAATATGAGGCTAGATAAAAAGTAAATGGTTTGATTTCCTGTGTTGCAACTTCAACGATATCAATGCTTCCTTAAACCACTACATATCTGTCTGTTGACTTCTGTGAAGTGTCGTTTAAGTTTGATAGTCTCTTAAAGCAGACGACAGCCGAGTGAAATTTGGCAAACATTTTGGCAAATACGAAAAAACATCACCTGAACCAAGATAAGCTTGATAAATACCTTAGCACTCTACTCTGTTTAAATAGTTTTTTTAATATCATTGAAGTCACACAACGTTTTGGATGTTTAATTGTGGTGAGTACACCCAAAACAATTGAAAGTTGTTCTGAGATTGAAAGTGCGGTAGATTGTTATCCCACTAGGGATATTAATTTTTCAGCTTTTTCCGATCCCGGGATTTTCGGGATGTCGTTATCACAATTCCGGGATCCCGGGACTAGTCTCGGGATTTAGATATTCATTACTTTTCAACAACTTAAATTAAAAAAAATGCTTCTATATTGTATGAGAAGCTCTCCTACCATAAAATAAATAATAAATAAATGAGTTTGAAACCTACTTTTCAATTTAAAGTGGCGTTTTTATTGTTCTCTCTCTGACATCAGGACCTATTTTAATTTCAAAGATATGATTAGTAATTCCAAAAATTATTTAAATAATTCAATGCAATGTATTTATAATACAAAAGTGGGTACCAAATGCAAGAAAACCTTCTTTAGAATATAAAAAAATTAAAATTTTTTGGATTCACAGGGACCATCAGGTATTTTTTTAAGCTGATAAAGTCAGAAGGACGAAATTTGTGGATGTTATCGAGTTTATATAAGTCCTTAACATATAATTTTTTCAAAAACAAATATTGCGAAATTTCTGGGATAAAATTTTGAATGGAAATTTTCAATACTAACCAAAACATTTGCTCTGCTTAAATTTTACAGAATTTCGTCTTTAATTTGATACCCATACTTCTTCTCTAAGCACATTTCACTGACTCTTTTGAATCATTTTTGAGTTACTGACGCCAGAGTGAAAAACTAAAAACGCAATTTTATTATATGTGGCCCATAGTTTCGCGAATATATTGATTTGTGTGTGTAAAATTCACTATCGCACGGTGTTGTATGTATAATGAGCTAGACATTTATAAAAAAATATTAATTATGAAATAAAAAAATTAAAAATATAGCCAATACTGGTCAAGAAAAAGAGTTTCTATTATTGCCATCAGTGCAAATTACACATCCCGAAAATTCCGGGATTAATATTCCTATATCCCATTCATGGATAAGTTCTTTTTGACTTTGGAATATCACCAGGGGATGAAAAACCTTTCGGTAAGATGTGTGCCGCGGTTACCCACAGTTGATGACAAACGTAATCATGCGACTTCTTTAGAGGGCTGTACGTTTCATAACTGTAAATCAAACATATTCCACCATAATACACCGAAGCAGTGATGGAGAAGTAGGCACAATAGTGCCATTTTTGGCACTTTCATTCACACGGGCACTTTTGGCACTATTCATCCTGTTTTGGCACAATCTTAAAATACCAAAATTTAAAACCAAAAGCCACTATATAACGAAAAATCACAACCACATTATAGATTAAAATATACAAAAAGTGACAATTAAAAGCACTAAAAAGTTAAATAAGAGCCGTGAGAAATATTTACAAACCGCTGAATTCTATTGTGAAAAGTAAGTTTTCGCGACAACAAGCTTTTAATTCAGAATTTTTAGAAAGATTCTATGTTTGCAGTTTTATAGTCCATTAAAGAAAAGTGCAAGTTTCTGCAATATCCCGATGATTTTTGATATTTTTTTTCTGAAATTGAAGACTTGGAATCGGGGTTGTTGCGAATATTCGCGTTCGCAAACACGGAGCTTCCGCATTAATTTTAACATTCGCATTCGCTTTAGCATTCGCAATAATCAATGCGGAACTTTTGCGAATGCGAATATTGTACAAGTGCACTGATATAACGTATATTTGGCAAACAAAATGACAAATTGTAGCCAACATTTTTTGCCTGTGGAGATGCTACGTTAAAACGTTTCCCCTACGTTCCCCTTTTGTAATTTAGAGTCAAAGAGTAAGATCCTTCAATAGGTATTTCCAGAAAACCTTTATTATGAATTAGGTAACTATCGAATATTATTTGTCAAAGGTCTGTTGAAAAAACTGCGTGCATCGCCAGTTCTTTTTTAATTTTTTTTAGATAAGTGTAATTATTTTTACTCATAAAACTTATTATGATTCAGTTCCGTGTTTCCTTTTATTAGTCTTTCAGCTCGAAAACAACAACTCACATCGTCGCTCAATTACAAAAGACCGGAACTAACTAAAAGTTCAAAGTTCATTTTTTGATTGATTATGATGTACTTCATCGAATCAAAAGCTCCACATTGTTTTATGCAATAAAAAATTTAGCTAGTTGTGGCTTTTTTGCATACGATATTAACGATATGTTGAAAATTTTCGTTCAATCGCCTCAAAATATCAAAGCACATTGAGCGCATGGAATGAAACAACAAAACGGATTTGATGGCTTATGGTGTCGACAGCGGTGAGTAGTTAATTGTGACTGCTAGGAAAAGTTGAGCTCAGCTAATAAAAACACTAATTACAAGCTATTCATTACAGGTGAACCTTTCCAAGAAGTCACCCGGGAACTAAGCAGATTTGAGACCTTCATCGTCCGTGATTATTATTAAAAGCGGGTGCCTTTTTAACCAAATAACAAGATTTTATACTAATTCGGCTGGCAGCAACAGAAAACAGAATTTTCGTCGAAAATTTCATCCCTAGAAAATAATAATTTATTTGCCATATATATACACCTATTTAGAACCTGGCTACAAGCGTAAATTTTTCAAACCAGTCCCAGAAGACAGGATTACAAATGCATTAAATTAACTAAAATCGAAAAACGCTGATGGCACAACAGGTTCTCCAAATTCTGAAACAACCAAAAGGATTGGTTCTCCAAATTGGAAAACAACGGCGTTTAAACAACGTTCTTGCCATGATGCTAGATTGTGAAGATGAAAGTCAGGAGGAAAAGCAAGCCGGTGCAATTCTCAAAAAGGCAATAAAAAAAGGCGAAAAAAACTTAAAGTCCTCTCAACTGGTGCAGCGTCAATCGAAAAGAATTTACAATTTTGTCAAGTTTCAAACTTTTCAAGTTTGTCGCCTCGAGCGAGTAGTTACCCGAAAAGGTAGCAAAATTACTCTTTATTAAATACAATGTTCCAATTTTTAAATTCAAGTACTAAATAAAAAAATATTATTAAAAATTACTGAGTTTTCCATTTTGTTTTTTTACCTAAATCACCTAATGTACTTACCTAAATTATTTCTTAAAAATACTTGACATCCGCAATCGCATCAGCGTTGCCAGGTTGACGTTTTTAACGTCATTTGGACGTTTTTTGTATCCTATTGACGTTTGGACGTTTTTTGTGTAAAAAATGACGATTTTTAACTTCCTAGTAATTTTCCTCTGTTACTAATTCTTGTAAGTAGAACTGATTTCGAATTATTTTCTTAATAAATCTTTACAAGCTTTGTGTTTTGCAGCAGCTGCTTCAAAGGATATTTATTCTTTGGATACAGATGACTTAAATATGATGCAAGCTGTAGCAGCATAAAAGGTCAGAAAAAAGTAAGCTAATTTTTTAAGACTTCATTGAAAATGTAATGAACGTAAAAAGGGCTGAAATATTGCTATGTTCTTTCTTAGCAGAACGTAATTTAGCATTTTCGACAACCGAATCCCCTACCGAATGTCTACAAGAAAAAAAATAAATATTAAAAATCAACGTGATTATTTAGCCCCTTTAAACTTGCACATTATTGCTCTAAGATTTAATGGGCTATCAAACTGCATACCCAAAAAAATTCTAAAATATCTAAATAAGAAGTTGAAAATCTAGATGAAGCTTTGCAGTTTTCTTATAGTTTTTGCACAAAGTTTGAAATGCGGATTTATATTTTGTTTGTTATATGAGCTTGGCTTTTATGGTAAAATAATAAACATTAAATAAACAAAAGAGAAACAGCCAAAATCGATCAAAATGGTGATGACTTAAACAACAACAAAACAACAACCGCATTTTGTGTTGATGCTTGCGGCGC